TGTTAGAAATGAGTAGTTGAATTTAACATAAAAGAAAACTTTTTAATGTTTTCATCTGTTTCTTCTCTTCTCTAAAGAGATTGAATTACTGTTTTCTAAGAAGCCGTAAAAGCTTTGTGTTCCACGTGTAATTTAATCCCACAGCAGCTTTGGCCAGGGGCAATGATTTCTATTAGATATGGTTGATCAGTAGATCCCTTTAAAGTCAATGAATGTCCTCTTTGCTTTCCAGTGCTTGTTTTATAAAGCCCTAATAGGGCGAGGGTTTTTTGGTGTTATGTTTGTGGAGACTTACGGTCACAGCTTGAACACTGTGCAAAGCACAACACCAGGTGTCAAGACAGAAAAATTTGGTATTGGAAGTGTTTTCTCTTAATTTTGTTTTTGTTTTATAAACTCAAAGTGATATTTTAGGCTCCCAGCTACTTGTGCTAATTTTTTTGTTTTTTGATAAACAGTCCGTACTCTGGACGCTTTAGTTACATATTCACAGATATTAAACTACCAACATTCATACTACAAATGGTACACACAGAGCTAACCCCAGCAGACAGAAAAAGGACAGATGACTCTTTACCTTTGTCTCGCTATATCCGAAGGGAGTGCTGCACAAAAGAAAATCATGGCATCATTCACCTTTTGCCTTGATAATGTTTTATCCCTTGATCTGCTGAGCACTTCTCAGGATGATGTTTTTGCTTCTCGGTTAAGGTTTGAACTTTGCAATATTGACCTTAAAATGAGATTTTAATGAAAGATGACACAGCCACATGACGTTCCTCCAAGAATCTAACCTGAGCATTTTCTTGGGGTCACTTTTAAAGATTCTCTCTTCCTTTATTGTTGTGCTTCAGCATGTAATATTACATTTTGGTGTTGTTTCAAGGCATTTGAAATGGTACAAAATACTTAAAAGTTAATATGGATAGTTCACCACACTGATTTTTTGTGTAAGCAATTGTCAGCTACAGAAAATCTACTTTCTGTGGGTTCTGAGCTAGTGAAAAAACTGCCAACTTTTCAGATAGACGAAGAAAAGAGATCTTGCTGATGTGATTCTAGCAATGTCGGGAAGCTATCAAAGATGGCAAAAGGATGGGGAAAAGAAGTTGAGATATATCAAAAAGAGTGATCTCGTATATGTCAGACATTTGACGAAAATGGAATAGGTAATAGGGGTCATTTGGTTAAGATGTACCGTAAGCTCAAGATGATATACATCCCCAGTAGTTTTGGGTTGAATGAAAGTGTTAATATTACTAATTTTTGTTCTGATATTAATAATGTTTTGTTGTGGGTTTGTTTGCAGATGCTTTGCTTTAGGCCAAACTTGACACTGAAAAAGAATCTGGAAAGCTACCTAAAGATTAAGATAGCAGCAAAAGGTTTTTGAAACTACAAGGATTTACTGTACATACCTGTATTCTCCGGCTCATCACCAATAAATATATTGTCAAAATATCCATCAAAGATCCCATCTTCATTAGAATTATATCACTTTTCATGCCCTATGTTTGAATAAAACCAAAAACAACACTATTTGGACAGTTTCCCAACCCAGAGCTGCTTAAATATTGGACAAAACACACATTGCGTTAATTTGGCTTGGTTCCCTTAATACAGCGACAGGTTTTTATATATTTATATCTTTATCATTTAACATATTATAATTATTATATCATATTATATGATTATTTGATTATATTAGAACTACCGTATTACTTTTTTTTATTACTATTATTTATGTTTATAACTTTCTTGATTGATATATTCTCACAACATTAATGTCAGAATAAATATTAAAAAACGAAAGTTACAGAACACACTAAAAAATACAAAATTTCCATAAAATTGCTATGTAGGTTTCCACTCCTTTGGATATTGAAAGTCAAAAATAAAAACCTTTTGAAGCACATATTAAGTTCAGCAAGAGCTATCTCAGCTTCAAAAGCCTTGTCCAGGATCACAACAAAGGCTTGAGAGCAAAGAAATCTATTTGAAAGCAGCAGCATAAATGGGTGCGACCTAGAAGACTCTACTTTCTCCAAGTACTATGTTAGTTCTGATCTATGACATGGAAAAAGGCAAGGTAAGAAAGCCAAACAAGCTGCAGGTTCTGTGAAACTGAGCCTGGGGCAATGTGCTGCCTTAGTAAAAGTCCACTTTGCCAGATTCTTTTACAATTTTAACAGTTAACGTAAAATAACCTGCAGCATTGACTTAGTGGTTGATCTGATATTGATTTATTTAATAAGGGACCCCGCTAAAAAAAACAAACAAACAAACAAAAAAAACAGCTTGACCAGTTAAAGTGCTAACTAGCTTAAAAAATGTAATGCAATGTAATGCCCGGCCATGGCAGGAGCAGGCAATGAACCGGGGACGGCAATTGATCTTGTAACACTTTAAACTCAGAGCAAGACTGGCCCACAGAAAGGCTGGAGGAGGCTCCAATCAGCCAACAGAAAGCCGTCGAGAGTCTTGGAGTCAATGTGTGAGCCTCTATCTGAGACAATCTCCCTTTGGAATCCATGTAGGTGAAAGACATGCTCAAGGAGATGTAGCGTTTATGTGAGGGAAGACCCTGAAGTGCCACCAAATATACCACCCTGGAGAAGCAATCCACAAATGCCAAGAAGTCATCTAGACTGGCCACAGATGGTAGTACATTGACAAAGCTGAGCCGGTTGCGGGACCATTGTTTCTGGGAAGGTACATAGAGGCAGTTGGCCAAGGTCTCAGAAGGAGCGTGTTCTGTGAGTAGACAATGATGTAACTCGGTAAGCAGAGTATGCAGTTGCTTAGGGGCCCTCAACCTCTTAGGGGCCCCATCACTGACACCTGGTAGGCCCCCATGCAATTGTGGGCTAGGACGTCTCTTTGCAAATGTGATGGTGTGAAAAATTCGTCTTAAACCCACCTGAGGGTTTAGATTGACTGACCGGACCTTATTTATACCCCAACACATGGCAGATTTCACCATGATGGTGAGCCGTTTAAACATGACACCAATAGCAAAGCAGACAATGGTACTTTTAATTACAATGTTAATAACTGTGTATACTGTAGTTCATTAGACGGTTGGTAAAAAATACACTCCTATAATATGTTTCAAACCGAGATAAAGATCTTAAAAGAATAATGTATTTCAGTATTTTATTTTTTAAATTACGACTTGGAAATATGGGTAATCCAGAGGGTCGATTAAAAACATAACCATTAGTACAATGTACGTAATGGCGACGATGGATACCAAAAAGAAGTAGAAAAAGCAAAGAAGAGCTGCTGGAAGAACGAAAGAAATGTCCTAAAATAAACACGTTCTTTGAAAGAACCGAAGAGACAGAGGAGGATGTTGCTGCTGCAGTAAGTAAAGATTGAGACCACGAGATGAATGGACAGAGCGTGGGTGAGGAGGGGGGCTGTCAAACTCAAGGTGGCTGCTTAAGACTCATTTTATAGCAGAATAGACTAAAATAGCCAATTGTTGTGTCGTTACACCATTGTGGGTAGAGCAGTGTGGATAGAGTCCTTCAAAGGCAAGGGAAGAGGGGTATGATACAATGAGGTTGAAGAATGGGATCAGGGTCCTTGGTGGGAGCAGAATGAGAAAAGTGCCTGGAGGGGGCATTGACATTTTTAGAACCGGGATGATAAGACATGTCGAAGTTATCAAAAAAAGAGCCCAACGTGTCTGCCTATTGCTTAATTGTTTGGACATCTCGATGTGGATGAGGTTTGGATGATCAGTCCAAAAGAGGAACAGTTCGGCTGTACAAAGGACTAAGTGCCACTATTCCTCTAGGGCCCACTTGATTGTCAGTAGTCTCGTCCAAATTCTTAGGAGCTTCACTACAAGTCAACTCATCCCTGGTCTCCTAGTCCCTCCATGAAAAAAGAGAGGAGAGCCGCATCCCACGAATTTAATTTGGCAGCTATGGAACGGAATTTAGAAGCAAAATGGCAAACAGGTTGATTACCCAACTTAAATGGATTAGCTGAGTTTGTACATCTACTTCAGTACTGGAAGGAACAATGGTTTTCTTTCACTGCTCTAAAATTTGCTGGTAGCCATTGCAGGCTGGTGATTTGGAATCATACAGGGTGGTTCCTGGGCACAGCCAGTTATTAAAGATTTTACCATGGCTACCCTGGCACTAGATGTAGACAATTTGGATGGTTGGCATTCCAAACCCCATGGTCACCTGACCATTATCTGACAGATGTTAATATAAATGCCTATGTGTAAGCAGGATGGACCCGTAGCAGTCTGCCTTGCAATGAATCAAGAGAAGCCTTTGAGTGAAAACACAGCTTTTATTTGAGGATCCTCTGGGTTATCCATAATACACTTGATTTTATGAAAAAATCCTTTTTGTAAAACTATCTTCAAAGATATTTGCTCTGATGTTGCTACACCAACGAATGATGGTAGGGGAGTCCACACTCCCAGCAAACAGAATTTATAGAGTAAAGGCAACATCTTGATTCAAACACATACATACCTAAGCTTCCTCAAAATGTAAAGTAAGCTCTTTCCCTTCTTGTTGA